CACCAGCCCGGCGGGGGTGGCAGGAGCCTCTCCCGCCTCCTCAGCAGCACTAAGGATGTATGACTGCAGCTTAGGTCTGCTCCCTGCTGTCAAGTGGACATCCCCCAAGGGCTTCCAGGCTGCCAGAGGGATGTCTGACTGCCTGCTTGGGCCCGATCCCCCAGGGAGCGGGCCTAAGCCAGCAGGTGGTCATCCCCCCAGGGGTCCCAGACTGCGAGAGGGCACAGGCCGGGGTGAGGGACACCCATGGGTGCACAAATTTTTGTGCACTGGACCTCTAGTCTATATATATAAAAGCCTAAGCGACCATCCAACCGTCTGACCGTATGGCTGTTCAACCGGTAGCTATGATGCGCACTGACCACCAGGAGGCAGACGCTCAACGCACAGGCATGGAAACATGGAACAGATGAATCTCAGAGGAAATGGGGGAGCGTGGGAAGAGAGTAACCAAAGGTCTTATATTCATACTAGAGGCCTAGTTCATGGATTCCTGCACCAGTAGGGTCTCTTGGCCTGACTTGTGGGGATCAGGCTGACACTGGCAGTCCAACATCCCCCAAGGGGTCCCAGATTGTGAGAGGGCACAGGCCAGACTGAGGGACCCCACCAGTGCACAAATCTGTGCACCAGGCCTCTAGTCCTATCTAATGAAGCGGGAATATGTTAATTGACCCTCACACCATCGCATAGATGGCGGCGCCCACAGCCAATAAGGAGGGAATATACTAATTGACTGTCCTGCCCTCAAAGGTGGCGACGCACACAGCCACAAGATGGCCAGCAGGGGAGGGCAGTTAGGGGTGATCACGCCGGCAGGGGAGGGCAGTTGGGGAGGACCAGGCTGGCAGGGCAGTCATAGAAATTATCTACAGACTAGAGGCCCAGTGCATGAAATTTGTGCAGGAAGGGGAGGTCCCCTCAGCCCAGCCTGCACCCTCTCCAATCTAGGACCCAGTGAGTGATGTCTGACTGCTGGTTTAGTCCCGATCCCACAAGGGTCAGACATCCCCTGAGGGGTCGCAGATTGGAAAGGGTGCAGGCTGGGCTGAGGGACAACCCTCCCCCCCCCACCCCTGCCCAGTGCATGAATTTCGTGCACCAGGCCTCTAGTAATAATTATAAAAGGAAACTCAACTTAGGCCAAGGTTGTAAGAAGAGTTCTCCTGGAAGTCTGTAGTCCATGCCTAATGTCCAGGCTGAAATTTCTGGTTGTTCTGCAAACTCTTGAATATCTGAGAAGGTAATTCCCCAAAAGTAAGAAATGGTATGATGTTTTCTCTTTATGGGTAAGCATCTCTCAACCTCAAAAAGCATCAAGTATAATGGTTTTTAAGAAAATATGTGAGTATTTGGGGGTTAAAAAAAAAACACCCTGTACATATATTTTTTTAAAAAATTTTATTGTTGGAAATACTATGTGTCCCCCTATTTCCCCTATTGATGCCCTCCAGCCCATACCTGCCCCCATCCCCCGACACCAGGCCCTCGCCACCCCACTACCTGTGTCCATGGGTCATGAATATATATGCATACAAGGTCTTTGGTTGATTACTTCCCACCCACCCTCTGTCCCCTGCCTTCCCTCCGAGATTCTGCACTTTGTCCCATGCTTCCATGTCTGCGTAATATTTAGCTTTATAATTCCCAACTAAATGTAAGTTTGAGCAATTGATTTAGCTCATGATTCTAAGTTGAGGCGTTATAAGTTAACTTTTAGATTTTAACTTACCTAAGAACATGGGAAGGTTTGTTTGTTTAGGCAGTACTTGAAAGGGAAATAAAATATGTTAAAAATTCTTTAAGGTGAATGTTAAAATTGTCTAGATTTATCAAGAGAATTATGTTTTTAAACCTGCCACTTCTTAAAAGCTTATGTTTGAATAATTTTAATACTAATTTCTAAAATGAAACTCTTTCTCTCTGTGCATAAAAATCACCCATAAGGACATTTAAAAAAAATGTTTTGGGATGTTACATACTACTGCAATGGAGGAAACCTATTTTAGGTAAGTGATAAGGAGAACAGACTGTGTTAAATCCCTGTGTCAATCACTATGTCACCTTCCTATAAAACACACTTGAAATCTTTCCATCAGTGCCTGCTCTCTCAAACATGGCGTCTACCTTGGCCCAGGCTCTCTGCCTTTGCATTATTTATCTGGCTATTTATTCCACCCAGATTCTTCTTTGTACTCCCTGGGTGCAAGTTAGACCTTTTGGAAGCAGCCTCAAAATTTTCACTCACCAGGGCCCCATTCACCCTCATTTACCAGAATAACAATTCCTTAAACAGTGCCCTGGTGGCCCGAGTAAATGGATGCCCCTTCCCATTGTCGAATTTGCATCCTGAGCATGATTTAGCCACCCAGCGACATCTAGATTCTATTTTCACTTATCTCATTAGTGAACTTCCTAGTTTCTTTGAGAATTGTTCTCAGAGCAGCCGTATCATATTGCTTGGATAAGAAAAATTCTAAAGCCTCTGCACTAACTGGGTTATTTTTAGTTGCTATAAGAAAATACATTTTCTTATGCAGAGTATCAATTTGTTTTTCTTTTTTAAGACTTAAAAATCAGAGAGGAAGGGAGAGGGAGAGATAGAAATATCAATGATGAGAGAGAATCATTGATTGGCTGCTTCCTACATGCCTCCTACTGGGGATCCAGCTGCAATATGGGCATGTGCCCTGATTGGAATCCAACCTGACCTCCTGGGTCATAAGTTGGTGCTCAACCACTGAGCCACACCAGCCAGGCAAATGTGGAGGTCATGATAGTCCTATATGCAGGTAGCTTAACAGATATGTTAATTTCGCACTAAAGTTACCAAGTCTTTGTTCCCTGGGATCGTGTGCACATGCTATAGTGTGTTTGCCTATTCTTCAGGCCTCCCAAGAGCTGCTCCTCTCACCCTTCCACCAGGTTGATTCTGCGCAGTAAGTTTGTACTCTTTGATGGCCGCTGTTTCCTGTTACAGTTGATTGACTAAGGAGGAGAATACAATCTAAACTTGGTCATTCCTTTTTGGGAAATTGAGACTTAGAGATCCGGGCACTAGGGCAACCATCCTGCACCTTCACTCAGGGAGCCCATCGGGGAGGAGGGGGCAGAGAGGGAGAGAGACAGCTGTGCCAAACAAAGCAAAGGTGGATAAGGGCTGGGCAGCCCAGGAGAGAGACAAAGCAGCTGAGTTCTGATAACTTTCTGCTCTCATTTCCTTGTGAACATGAGTACACATCCTGTCCTTGGAATCTGTGAAGTGAGCCAGCCTTTTGTGCTAGTAATAAAGCCTCTCATTCATCCTAGGTTACTTTGCTTGCTTTTCAAGTTCTTTGAAACCCAAAGAAGTCTGACAAAGAAATAAAGGCCACTTCCTCAATAGTAGTCAGATCATCTGACTCTTAAAAATTTAATTCTTTAGGGGAAAAAATAATGCAATGTCAAATGAAAGAAGGATATAGTCTAAACAGTTTTATTATGTTCTGAGTCAGAACATTCCCAGCTTAAAGCAAATACAGTGCACAGTAAGTTCCATCTGCAAAACCAACGTGAATATACATAGAAATAAGCACGTTGTCGTGTTCCCTTGATTTCCTCAGGAACTTGTGCTTTCCAGCGGAGATTTGTGAATTCTGTAATATACCCCGTTCAGCAGCTTAGTTCAGATCTTTTAACAGACATTTAATCAGCTTATACAGATCGCGCCAATTTTGGGGATTCAAGATGAAGAAGATTGGGTTCTTGCCTCCAGAGGAGTGCCCAACACATGAAGAGAGTTCCTTTCCTCTCCTTTCTCTCCTGTCTCTGAGGGGAGATGGGGTATGATTTCCAGGATCAGATAACTGATCTAGACAAACCCCCTTCCTTGGAGCCTGACCTAGTAGAAAAGGACTGAGCAGGAGACCTGGGTTGCAGGCTGGGCTGTGCCAATGCTAACACGGCTCTGTGAAGTCTTAACCTAAGCCAGTTTTCCTGTTTATCTTCATCCCTATAAACCGAGAAAACGGCTCTCATGGGCAGATCACTCAGGACTCAGTTGTAGGAAGCAGCTGCCCCTCCATGTATATTATGCAGAAAGGGCTTTTGAAAAAGAGAATTAAACACAAACTCGCTGCAGGGGCCGGAGGAGAGGGCTCTAGGCGGGCTTCTGAGATGACTCTCAAGAACATACTGCAGATTGGGGATCAGGGACTAACGGAGGAGGACCTGTGGTGGCAGGGGCTTACTTCCATGCCTTCCAGGACCAGCTGCCTTAGGGCACCCAGGAAGCTAATGGTACCAGGACCTGGCGGAAAACCCCAGGACAGTGCCTGCCAGAGGAAGACAGCTACATAGCAGGAAGATGGACTCCAGCTCACTCCCAGCTAAAGTTACAACAATGCTCATCCTAAAGCTAACACTTACTAATACTATGTGTCAGGCTAAGCAATGTATGTCATTTAACTCAGTTCTCCTATCAACCCTAGGAGAGATTATCCCTGTCTTACAGACAAGGAGCCAGGGATAAAGAGAGAGTAAGCATTTCGAGTGCACATAGGTAGTAAGTAGCAGCAGGGATGTGCAGGCATCTTACTGATGTCATCTGCTTCATGTCTAGAACCCCAGCTGCAAGAAAGCCTGGGGAGCAAAGCATGGCTTTTGGTTTTCCCACCTCTGCGGGTTTCAAAGACACCCTGGAAGATAGTCAGGATGGTGGCTGCGTGGCTGTCCAGCATATCCATCCCAGCGAAGCAGTCACAGACCCAGGCTTACCATGTCAAAAATGCTACAGCAACAGTGATTCACTGCAAATAGATCAATGCACCTAACCTATTTGTCATCTGTTACCCTAAGATTAGCTCACCACAGAGCCCTATGGAAGCAATGCTGAGTTTAGATTGTATCTGCGCACATTCCTGTTTGAACAAGGCCTACATTAGTTTGTGGCCTGTGTTTATTTCATTGATACAGAATTACAAGCTTAAGTTTTGTGTTTCAAAGTTACTCATTTTTGGCAAAATAGGCAATACTTTTCTTTAAAAACCTGCAAAAAAACTCCGAATATTGATTACAACAAGTTCATTGGAAGTTAATAATTCCCTTAATTTTTCAGGAGCAAACTCAAAAGTCACTGTTTTGTGAGGATTTCCCATCTGGATTTGAGTACTTTTGTTTACTAATTGTATTCTTTTCTATTAAAAAATCTGTACATGTCTGTACTAGATTCCTAGGGCTCTCATAACAAAGTACCAATGACAAGGTGGCTTGAGTAACAGATATTTGTTTTCTCACAGTTCGGGAGGTTAGAAGTTCGAGATCAAGGTGTTGGAGGTGTTGGTTTCTCTCGTTGGCTTGTAGATGGCCATCTTCTCTGTGGGTCTTCCCTCCATGTGCCTGTGTCCTAATCTTCTCTTCTTATAAGAACACAAGTCATATTGGATTAGGGCCCATCCCAATGACCCCATTTAAATGTAATTACCACTTAAATTCCCAATCTCC